ATTCTGAGATACACAGTCTTCATTGATCTATGTGTATTGGTGAGGTTTCTATGGTGAGAAATCTGCCTAGGAAGGGTATCTTGTTTGTGGAATTGAAAGATTATCTTGTTTGTGGAAGCAAAAGATTCCACATTTCAAATATTTTTGTCTTTTAAAACACATTCTACTATAGAGAGAGGGAAAAGAATTTTTTTACCCTTCTAGGTTCTTAGTTGGGACTCTGTAACCAAAGGCAGATTAATAAGAGAAAAGCAGGGTCTTCCCTGGTGGTGCAGCGGTTGAGTGGTGGGCTTGGAAGCTGCCCGCAGCCTCTGCAGCACCGGTTCGATCCCCGGCCACCGGCAAGGGTCCCACATGGGGCGCAGACCTCTCCTGCCACCCACTGCTCCCCTCAGCAGTGTATTTCATCAGTCTGCCTGTTCTGTTCCCCGCTCTGGTTCTGGTGAATTCTCTCACCTTCCCTCGCTTTCGACTGTACCCCAGTGCTTGTATAAATAAATAAATAAATCTTTAAATAAATGAAACTATACTTTAAAAAAGAGAGAAAAGCATACAAATGTGAACTCATATTCAATGTGAGCTTTACATGATATAGGAGTCTTTACAAGGAAATGAATACCCAAAGAAGTGATTAAAACAGAGGTTTTTATGCTAAATTTGATGAATACTAGAGAGTGGTAGAAAATGTGATAGGACAATCCGCTACGGGTGCTGCATGGCCTAAGACGGGTTTTGACATCCCTGGGGTGGCTAGAGAGTCCCCTCGCGCTCTGTCGCGCTGCAGGCTGCCAAGGAGCCCAAGCAGAAGAAATGGAGTTTAGAGCCTGAGAATTTTGAAAAGTTAAAGCCAGTTCATGGGCTAATTTTTCTTTTCAAGTGGCAGTCAGGAGAAGAACCATCAGGTTCTGTGGTTCAGGACTCCAGACTTGACAAAATATTTTTTGCCAAGCAGGTAATTAATAATGCTTGTGCTACTCAAGCCATAGCAAGTGTGTTGTTGAACTGCACCCATCAAGATGTCCATTTAAGAGAGATGTTATCAGAATTTAAAGAATTTTCACAAAGTGTCGACGCAGCTATGAAAGGTTTGGCACTGAGCAATTCAGATGTGATTCGACAAGTGCACAACAGTTTTGCCAGACAACAAATGTTTGAATTTGATGCAAAGACAACAGCTAAAGAGGAAGATGCTTTTCACTTTGTCAGTTATGTTTCTGTTAACGGAAGACTATGAATTAGATGGGTTAAGAGAAGAACCGATTGATTTAGGTGCATGCAATCAAGATGACTGGATCAGCACGGTGAGGCCAGTCATAGAAAAAAGGATACAAAAGTACAGTGAAGGGCCTCCCCGGTGGCACAGCGGTTGAGCGCTGGGTTGCGAATCTGCCCGCAGCCTCTGGAGCACTGGTTCGATCCCCAGCTGCTCCCCGGCCACCAGAGGAGGGTCCCACATGGCTCGCAGACCTCTCCTGCCGCCCGCTGCTCCCCTCAGCAGTGTACTTCGGTCCTTCTGCCTGCTCTGCTCCCCGCTCTGGCTCTGGTGAATTCCCTTACCCTCCCATGCTTCTGACTGTACCCAGTGCTTGTATAAATAAATAAAAATAAATCTTTTAAAAAAAAAACAAAAACAAAAAACAAAAGTACAGTGAAGGTGAAATTCGATTTAAGTTAATGGCTATTGTGTCCAACAGAAAAATGATATATGAGCAGAAGATAGCAGAGTTACAAAGACAACTTGCAGAGGAGGAACCCATGGATACAGATCAGGGTAATAATATGTTAAGAGCCATTCAGTCAAGAGGTTGCCAAAAATCAGATGCTTATTGAAGAAGAAGTACAGAAATTAAAAAGATATAAGATTGAAAATATAAGAAGGAAGCATAATTATCTCCCTTTCATTATGGAATTGTTAAAGACTTTAGCAGAAAACCAGCAGTTAATACCGCTAGTAGAAAAGGCAAAAGAAAAACAGAATGCAAAGAAAGCACAGGAAACCAAATGAAGAAAATACTCTGCAAATTTCTACTTCTGCACTTATTTTCATGGAAACCATTAAGTATAAAGAACTTTGAGCAACAACATCCTAATTGACTCTGCACATTTGGCAATAGTACCATTCTGTTTTGTCTTTAATTCATGGATACGTAAACGTTTTCCCAACCTGCATCATGTGCATGTAGTGCATATTAAATAAAAGTGATGTTAAGAGTGAGAAAAAAAATGGGATAGGACAAAGAAGGATGATAAACTGGGGGAAACAGCAATGTGTGCTTAAAATTGCTCCTCTCCCCTCTGCCTTTGGAAACAAGGATGCTCTTTTCCCCCAGATACACAAAGGGCACATCTCACATGACAGGTCTACAGCTCACTCATGGGAGTACTAGGGTCAAGTTCTTCCTGCACCTGTCATTCCTCATATTCCTTATATAAAAATTCAACATGCCAAGACACCATGTTTTGAGCCTGTGTGTCCTGAACCCCATCAACTGCAACAACTCAGGAGTAGGAGGAGGTCTTTGTTCTAATTTCAAGTGTTATGGGTGTGTGTTTATATATATGAACGAGAAAGGCAGAATTCAAGAAACATTACATTTCAGAAATTCATCCACAGAGAAGGAATGTTGGTGTTATTTGAACCCAAAGTCAATTAGTTTAACCCAATGTCTATTCAATTGCCTTGAGATGCTATTTCTGTTCTAAGTCAAACTTCTTAGAAACCATTGTAATCTTACTCTAATTTTCATATCAATTAAATGTTATTTACTTTTGAGTACAGAATAAACCCAAAGAATTTTAGCTAATGAAAGTGACAAATTAGGTCCACATTAACTTTTTGAGCCATGGGACAAGTGGATAGCTTCTAGGATCACAATAGGAAAAAGCCTTGGAGGAATAAGGAAGTCTCCAGAGATAAGGGTAACAAATTCCAAAGGGGATTAATCAAATACCCCTGAACTAGGAGATAAGGACATTGCTGGGCAAGGACTCTAAGCACTGTGAAGCAACATGTAATTCTGGGCACAGAGACCAAGACAAAGTGAGTTACCAGGAAGCCCAATTATGCCTTAATATCATTTCAGAAATTCAGATCCCATAAATTACCTGTTCTCATAGGTAATAGAGACAGAGTGACCCGAAGAAACCAATCACAAAGAGACTGACAAAGCTTTAGAATAATTAGGGAAAGAAGGCCTTTATTGCCTGAGGCACAGCTCTACTTCAGCTTCCTGGCCTGGTTCCACCAGCCCGGGAGTCTCACTTTTTTTGTTTCTTTTCTCCTTAATAAACTTGTCCTTAAATCTATTTCTCTAAACAAATTTGCCTCTTTTCACTTACTTGCCTGAGAGTCAGCGAAGTTCCTGCTGTAGCAAATAAGACTCTTGGGCTTGAAAAACTCAGCCTCTTTGGGTGCCACCCCCAACAGGTGTGTATCTTACCCTTTGTTCTCCTTTGGCATGGCCCAATTTTACAGATATTTTAGTAGAATTGTTAGGGGGAAAAGGAAGTCCTAAAGCTAATTCTGTACAGGCTTTGTGGACTCCACCCCCACCCCAGGCCAAAGCCAAAAGACACTGGGAACTCCAAATCCCATCCCCACCAAAGGGAAGGTGGCTGGGACCTGAGGGTGGGGTTAAGCAGCCAGGTTGCTATAAGCCAGAAATGTGGGCTTTGGAGGGGTCCCCCATTTTGGCTCTCCGCCAGCTCGCAGCATCTGCCAGCTCTGAGAGTGCCTTTGGGTTTCCAGGTCGGCGGATCGGGTAGGACGCATTAAAGACTTTATTTCCCTATTTTCTCCCTGAATTGTACATTTCCTTAATTCCCTTTCCCTTGTAAATAAACCTTTTATTAACCTTTTTGTGTGTGTCTATAGTGAAGTATTAATAAGTCCCTTTTAAGCACGCGGGTGAGGACCCACAGCCAGGCAACCCGTTTTATATCGGGGTTGCCCCATAACAGAATGTCTTGTTATTTAACTTCAGACTCTTGGATCTGGACCAACAGAATTTTAATCAATCCAATTAAGAGAATGAGAGACCTATGAGAATAGGGAATTTATGGGATCTGAATTTCTGAAATGATATTAAGGCATCATTGGGCTTCTTGGTTAATGCTGACAACCTACTCTTCTGTCATTCACCTTCTCCCTTCCTCCTTTCAAGTTAATGCATTCTTTTATAAATTAATTTGACCCTGCTAATGCTTCAGCTAAGCAAGTTACAGATATAGTACCTGACAGATGGACTCAGTTAACAGGTTAAAACTGCTATAAATAGGTCGCTAGTACTGTGGTGATAAGATGTCCAGGGAGGGGAAATGTTCCCTGGTCCTATGATAAGGTCTCAGTCTTCAGTGAGCCTGTGCCTCTGACTGTGAACCCCACAAGTGTTTCTCTGCTTTTTTCTCTCCCCTTAGGATAGGATGGCTAGAGTGGGCTGGAGTTGGTTATTTCTGTTCCCTAAGAAAACTGTAAGAAAAGCCATAATCTTTAAATATCCAACAAAAATGTCACAATCCTGAAAATTAGCACTTTTCAAATTTCAGCAAGTAGATAAGATCAAGATAAAGGTTGCAGAGACCTTACTTTGTATGGATGAAAAGATTGAAATCATACAACTAGTTTTAGTCTTTGAGTCACATCAGATGCATTTATTTCCTCTTCGTATACATTCTGATGTCATTTCAAGACATTTTTATTGACAAGTGCATAATATGACTTCAGTAGTCCAAACAAACTTATGAATATAGTACGTCACCCTTCAGATAACAAGAGCAAGACATATTAGTGTGTTGTTAATTCAAAGATGAAGTTTAAAGATTGATTTTCTGCATTTTAGCTCACTTTCAATTCTTGTTTTGTTAGGAAAAAAAATTATGTTATGTATTTGAAATAAATATTATAAGGCCTGTTATGCTTCTAATGTGTTCTTTATAATTAAAGTGAGTTACTATAAAAGTTCAATGATTAAATTCTAATGGTGTATTTGTTATTTTCATAGGAAGTTTATAGAGACTCATCTGAAAACCATTCCCAGTTGTGCATTTTCAAATCTGCCTAATATTTCCAGGATGTAAGTCATTTTTTTTAATTTAAAGAGAAATTTGCTACTGTGAAATGTTATTTTGTAAATGTTTTCTATCAGGAAAAATAATTGTTATATATATAAAATATACTTGCTTAAGTCAATGACATCTACATTTCTATCTACATTTGCATGGGTTTGTAACCTACATTTTGAATATAGATCAAAATTTTGTGCACAAGATAATTTGCTACATCTCTACTTCCAAATTCCTCAATGATTTTTGAAAGTTATATCTCAGTTCATTTGGTCTTGGAATATGTAATATCTTTGCATATTTCAATATCTTGGGATGAGGCAAAATTTTAGCCAGCGATCACTCCCATAAATAGATATTTATATCTATTTCTAATGAATCTTTCCTATCCTATTCTTGATATACTTTTCATGACTAGTTCAAATGTTTACATTTTGTCGTAAATGTAGCCAATGAATTTCAGACCTCTCAAAAAAAATATCCTAAACTATAGAAAAATAAGTAGTTGTATAGTCCAGAGTGAGGAGAATAAGTACTTCCATGTTGAGCTGACAAAGACTGTATCTGTATGTGAAATAAATTAGGTTACTTTTCATTTAATTGATTCTGATAGCTAGGTGGATAATTCATGTATAATAAAAACACAACCAGGAGTCACCTGCACACATTTTTTCTGCACATATTCATCACCACTTATTGAGTATCTATTGTTTCATTTCAAATGCATTTGATATTTTTGGTTATCACAACTAGATGCTACTGGCATCTAACACCCATGTGGAGGCAAAGGATGTTACTAAATATCCTCCCACTACAAGGAGTCCTGCAGTCCCATTACCAACAGTGCAGAGGCTGAGAAGCCACTTTAACTCCACATCTCTGAAGTGCTTGATGTTCTTGACCAGCACATCCTTTTTCAAATTCTTGCCTCCTTTGGTTTAATATTGCTCTCTCATCCTTTTTTGTTGGTGGTGGTGTCTTACCCTGACTGTTCCTCTGTCTCCTTTCTTGACGTCCCATTTGATTTGTTTTATTTCATTGCATTTCAATTTTTAATTCAATTTCTTAAATATTGGTTTTTTTCTTTGTTTATTTTGTTCTAGTTCTTCTTACCCTACTGTCCTTGAATAAACACTCCATTCTTTTGGCTTCACTCTTACCTAATACAGCTAATTCCTAAATGTATAACTCTAGTCTTGACTTGTTTTGACAATTCAGCACTGCATTACAAATGTCTTCACAAGTACCATCACCTTGATGTCCCACTAACACTTCAAACTTAGCACAACCAACCTTCCTTCTAACCTCTTCCTTCTTTTATAGCACCACCATTTAAGGACCTATCAACTAAAGGTCTCAAATTCTATTTAACATTTCCTTTTCTTATCTCCCTTTTAAAATTGCCTATTTTGTGTCTCCACTTGGATGTTCCTATAGCATGGTCATTATTTCAACAAATACATATTGAACCTATGTTTTGCCGGCACTTTGCAAAACATATTCATGGAGCCTCCAGTTTCCTTCCTAAGAGAGTGATAAGTGCCATGATGGGGTCAGACACATGATACTGTGGGAATTCTAGGAAAGGCATATTGCCTAGGGGGTATGATCAGGGAAGCCTTCCTGGAGGAAAGAGTGCCTAATGTGTAATCTGAATTATATGGCAAAAAAAAAAAAAAAAAAAAGATGGAAGTGACATGATCAGATTGATGTTTTAGAAACATTCCTTGATTGTGCTGGAAGAATAAAGAAATGTGGTTGAGTAGATTTCAGAAATAAATAAGGAGGACTAACAAGTTTGAAAGTTGATTGACTTGGAGGTAGAAAAATATGGAAAAGAATTTCCTACAAGCTTCTGATTAGGACACCTGGGAGGTTGATGAACATATTTGCCAAGGTAGAGGAGTTTTCTGCGGATTTGCTTTGGGTTGGGAGAAGTTAGGGATTTCATTTAGGGCATATGGCATTTAAGGTGCCTTTGAGGCATCAAAAAGACATATCCAGTAGACATTAGACCAATTTTTTCATTCATTAATTTGAGAAATATTTATTAAGCTCTTATTATATGGTAATCATTATTCTCAGAGACAGGAATATACCAGTGCCCATTTGGACAATGATCTGTGCAGCACAGACTTACATTTGAGTGGAAGGAACCAGACAATGGACCGGACTGACTACAGATAATATATGATAGAGAGTCCTATATAAATATAAATATATATACATATGCATATACATATACATATACATTTAGAAGGGGAAAATAGATATAATAAAAAGAAACAAGCGAAGTAGAGTAAGAAGAACTGGAAGCGTTGAGTATGTGGGGACACAGAGCGGAGAGGTTTGGACAGAGAGTGAAACTGAAGAGTCATAAACAGGACCAGGGCAAGTCATCAGTAAGAGGCTAAAAAGTGTAAAAAATGACCAAGTTGAAAGCATGAAGTCCCAGAAGAGAGATGGAATTCAAATAGAGATGGAATTCAAATAGAGATCTCTCTGGTGTTGACCTAAAGAGAGATGATCACCTTATACACTGTAACAAGAAAGTAGTGGTAAGAAATGGGTATGGTACAGGTAAATTAATAGGTTTATTGGTGTAGAACTCAAAGAATTCTCATCTCAAGATTTTAATTTTTTCTAAAGATTCTTTGAAAATTATTAACATTGAATATGGTGCTGGCAGAAATTTGAGAAGCAATAAAATAAAAGTAATGTGTAATAAAAGAAGGAGGGTTGACTGAGCTATAGAGAACATCTAGGCAGATGGTGCTGCTAAGTTTTCCTCCATGGAGACCGTTCTGCATTCTCTACTCTACATTAAGTATTCCCTGAATCCCAACTGAGTGTGTATAACCCCATATGTTAACCTCATTTTAACACTCTGTAATCTCTCACAACTGAGAGCTCCATGAAACAAGGGAATAGGTCTGTTTTGCCAATATCCATTTACTGACATGCAAGAGTTATTTGTTGAATGAAAGCATACATATGTACGTGAATAATATAAGGAGATGGGATGTCTCGGGGAAAGGGAGAGACCAACAAGGGACCCCTATGTTAGTTTGTCTGGAGCCAGTATAAATTCCCACCTATTGTCCTGGCAGAACCATTAATATAACCCTATTTTAATTTACAGCAATACCCTATTTCGGATGATAAATGATATCTTCACGGTAGTGATTATATATGACTTACATGATAAGAAGAAATTTGGGGAGGAGGTGAAGTCTGATTTTTCAGTTGTAACAATGGGATAAGCAAGTGGGAAATCATTCCTCTCATCCCACTGAAAAAAATGGTACCTACATGCTGTCTTCATATCCAACTATAAGAACACACTAAAGAATTATCATTTGATTGGAAAACCTGGAAATTCAGTTACATTAACATGGCTTTAATGACTATCCCACTAAAACCTTGAAACAGCTTCATACTTCTAACCTAAGAAATTCAAGAGAAAATCTAGCAAGATTTTAAGAGGAAAAGAGAAATTTGCAATCTTCAAAACTGATCTTGTTCTTCAGATGGTTTGGCTTCATTCTTTATAAATCCCTGTAATCTCTACACGATAAACTAGTTCAATATCTTCTATTATGTTTTCTATGTTAAAGTTATGGTATTTGAATCAAAATAATTTATATAATGCTATCCACAGTGGAATGGCTTAAAGGCCTAATAAATTAAAGGATAACTGTTTAGAGAATAGCACATTCAAAATGGAAAGTAAAGGTCCACTAAAATACTCACAATAACCATTAAAAACTCAAATGGAACAGTCAGTGCTTCTCTTGAAAACGTTGTAATAATGAAAATACTTTACTGGTAGATTCCATTCAAACTATAGGTCAGTGCTTCTCAATTCTGCCTGCAAATTATAATCATCTGGGAAGCATTTTAGAAATAAAAATGTTTGCTCCATTCCTCATAATCTGATTTAATTACCCTGAACTGGGTCTCAAACATTTGTATATTTCAAAAGCCGCCGAGGTAGTTCAATTGCTTGGCCAAGGTTAAGAAGCTCTGTTATGGCCACAGATAAATACCATCTGTTAATCATCAATTTCCCCAAATGTCATAGAAATGTCTTTCAATAAAAACCAGTCATTGAACTTGGCTGCATTAGTCACACACAAAATGGAATTTGAAACATCATTCTTATGTATCCTTAACAAATTACATTTAGAAGTTTCTCTTTTTTAGTACTTAAAGCTTTTAGTAGATTTATCTTTTGCTTACAAAGTTCAAGATGAACCTTAAATTTTCACCCTCATTAAAATCAATAAAGGAAGTATTAATGGAAGATGTAGTCATCACCCTATGGATATTCCACTACAAAGTTGTGGATTTCTCTTCATCTTCTTTGAATACACATTTCTAACCCCATGCTCTTAGGTACTCCGTTAAAAGTGCCTCTTATTCATTCAATGAATGTCTTTCATTTTTTGCTATTTTAAGTCACCTATTTGCTCACTCATTCATTCATTTGCCCAATACACCTTTACTGAGAGCCTACTAAATGTCAAGCACTACGAAAACCATTCAAGATTCAATGGTCACCAAAAACAGACAGAATTAACCATTTTGGAGAAGTTAGACTAACTAAACAACATAAACCAAATATCATCCAAACATTCACAAAACTACACTGTGATAATTAGTGGAAGGGAAACTGCATGGTGCTGAAGATATCTTATAGGAATTTGATCTAGATAGGAAATTTGGGGAAAGCCTCTGAAGGAAGTAGCAGCTAAATAAAAGTTGAGGGATGAATAGAATGTAATGTACTGGGAAACTTCCAGGTATCATGAGATCTGACAAAAAGTATTAACTAATTTTAACATGATTAGAGAGAAACCAAGAGCATGATTTGTTGCATGATCTAGGAAGCCACTGTCAAAGAAGTTACGTCAAAATGAATGGTCAGTGTGGAGTTCACAACCCGGCTAACGTTCTTCTCTTTCTTATATTTTTGTGACATTCAGCTACTTGTCAATAGATGCAACTCTGCAGCGGTTGGAGTCACATTCCTTCTACAACTTGAGTAAAGTAACTCACATGTAAGTACAGTGAAAAGTGAGCATAGACCCAATCACAGCCACTCTTGCTTGATAATTGGGCACGGGATGGTGAAAACAGCTGATTTCAAAATCATGAGTCAAATTTGTTGTTTGTGACAGTCTTATTCCTAGTTTATATTAATTCACACGAATTCTCAATTCCATGGCTGAAAGTTAAAGAAAAATAAGAACTCCTCTTCTTGATTTGTCATTGTATTATACTACTGTTGTGCTAGCAGATTTTATTGGGGGTCAATCAATAAGTAAACTGCTTAATTGCTGATAAACTACTTGAGTCCAGGACCAGTGAAAGACTCTTCAAAGCTAACATTATTTCTCTCAGTTTGGAAGGGAAATGCAGCTTCATGTGATCAGAACAGGAGTGATGTTTAGAACTTGCTTGAAGTTGGTCAGGGATGAATTGAGCCTATGAGCTATCTAACCTTGGAAAAATTATGTAATCTTTCTTAGCCTTAGTTTCCTTATTTGTTAAGTAAGAGTAAAAAGAGTTTCCACTTTCCATAGTAATTGCAAATTTTGATAGTGAGCATTTAAAACAGTGCCCAGCATATTAAAATTAGTCAATACATTTCATAAACATTCTTCTTCTTTAATTTCTCTAGTATAAGTTATAAAAAGCTTTGCATGCATAATCACATGCTCTTTGAAGAAGCATGTATTTAAAAATGTTAATTCTATTTTCTTAGTGAAATAATAAAAATTAAGGCAACAAAAGCCTTTAAAATAAACTAGTGTGACATCAAAATAAAAAATCTTCTGAACAGCAAAGGAAACCTAACAAAATCAAAAGACAACCTATTCAATAAGAGAAGACATTTGCGAATCATTCTGATAAAGGGCTAATATCTTGTATATATAAAGCTCACACTTTAATAGAAAAAAATACAATTTTAAAAATGGGAAAAATATCTGAATAGACATTTTTCCAAAGAAGACATTAAGATGGCCAACAGGTATGTGAAAAGTTTGCTCAACATCACTATCCTCTGAGAAATGCAAATCAAAACTACATTGAGATATCACCTCACAATTGTTAGAATGGCTATTTTCAGAAAGAAACAAGTGGTGGGGAGGCTACCTTCCTGCACTGTTGGTAGAAATGTAAATTGGTGTAGTCATTATAGAAAACAGTATATAGAAAGGTCTTTAAAATTAAAACTAGAAATCCCATATGATCCAGATACCCACTTCTGAGTATTTATCAAAAAAATCCCCAGAAGTACAGTTAAAAGATAAATGTGTTTATTGCAGCACTATTTACAATAACCACAACAGCAAAACAACTGGTGTCCACTGATGGGTAAAGCAAATGTGGAAAATTAAATATACACACACATATATGCATATATAATTTTATATATAATTATATATAGATATATTCTATATAGAGTTTATATGTATATGTATAATATAAAATAAACAAATACATACATAATCTAAATCAAACAAAAAACCCAAACTCATAATGAATAAGTTGATGAGACTGAACAGAGATTTAGACAGTTTTATAGCTAACAAAACAAAACAAAAATTGGAGTTACTAAAGTTTACTAAGGAGCTTGGTTTCTACTAAACTCCCCAGGATTTTAGCTAGGGCCCCTAAGGAGCTTCCTTCTGAGAGTATGGGATACTGAGAAATAGATCAATCTTCACAAAGACTAAAGCCTACCTCAGAATCAATTAAGACAATAACAAAGCATGACAAAGAGCATATGGAGAAAATTATGAGAAGAAAACAAACAACAGAAAATGACCCACAGGAGACCCAGAAACAGACTTTAAAGTAATGGTAATAAATATATTCAAGTTTTGAGAGGCAAGATAGAACATTTTAGATTAACCTGGAAAATTTTATAGAATCAAATGAAAACTAAAACTTAAAATCTCAATGACTGAAGTAAAATCTTAGCATGAGTTTAACAACAAATTAAATATAGCTCAGGGGCCTCCCCAGTGGCGCAGCGGTTGAGCGCTGGGTTGCAAAGCTGCCCGCAGCCTCTGCGGCGCCGGTTCGATCCCCAGCTGCTCCCCGGCCACCGGAGGAGGGTCCCACATGGCGCGCAGACCTCTCCTGCCGCCCGCTGCTCCCCTCAGCAGTGTACTTCAGTCCTTCTGCCTGCTCTGCTCCCCACCCTGGCTCTGGTGAATTCTCTCACCCTCCCACGCTTCTGACTGTACCCAGTGCTTGTATAAATAAATAAATAATCTTTAAAAAAAAAATTTTAAATATAGCTCAGAAATTAATCAGTTACCTAGAAAAGTCAAAAGAATATAACCAGCCTGAAGCATGGAAAGAAAAAGAAAATAAGAAGATGGCACAGTGAAACGGCTAGCATACCTATAATTAATTGGATCACAAAAGAAAGAATGGAGAGAAGTAATATTTGAAGAGAATTCTTCAAAACTCCTAGGAAACATCAAATCACAATGTAAGAAGTACCACTAGCCCTTAAAGGATAAATATAAAGAAAACCACATCAAGGTACATCATCCTCAAAGTACTAAATACCAAAGACAAATTGAATATCATAAACAGCACCAAGAGGAGGAAAAGTTCACAGTATTTTCAAAGAAATAACAATAAGACTGACAGCTGACTTTTTAACAATCATGGAATCCATAAAACAATTAAAAGCTTTATGCAAGAGTAAAACAGGAAAAATAACAACGGTAAATAACTGCCAACCTAGCAAAAAGGTTCTTTGAAAATGTAAATATATCAAAACAACAAAAATTGAGAGACTTCATTATAATTTGACTATTATTAAAGGGACTACAAAATGGAGTTTTTAATGCAAAGGGAAAGCAATTGTTTTCAGTAATTTAAGACTGTTTTCCAAAATAATCTTAAATGGTAGCATAGTGGTACAGGAAAAAATGAAAAGCAACAGAAAAAGTCAATATAAATGAACCTTGACTGAACAAGACAAAACAAAAAATGTCTTACGAGGACTGAAATACAGGCAATCCTTATTTTGCATGATAGTGAAGAATGAAAACTCTTTGCATGCTGAAATTCTATACAGTGATCTTAACAAAATAGAGTATGGTCATTTGGGGACTTCTAAAAACTTGTCAAAATATTATTGTTGGTTATAAATAACAAAAGTAGTACAACTAGTATTTATTTAGCACACTGTAATTTTAAACATTAGAAATATTTAGAATTAAAATATTTCATGTTTTTGTGAAAAGCAGCAAGAGTAGTTTGAACAGTACCATGCCTCTTTCTCTTTGTTGCATAACTTACAGGAGAGCATCATTTCAATGTCTTGGCAAATTGTCCTACTTCTTTCTAGGTCTGTATCAGCTTCCAATATTTAATCTTTTGCTCTTTCAAGGTCATAAAATATTCCCAAGTTCCTTTAATGTGAATTTATTTTTTCAGCATCTTTTCTTTTGGACTTGTCCATCCTTTTATTCACAACCACTTTTTTTTTCATTTATATCAATAATTTGCCTTCTCTAAATTCCTATAATTGAATATCTAGAGTCTCTCAACACTCCATGCTCAGCTGTAAGACAGTTCACAACCAAAGCAGGTGTTTGTTTTAATATAACTCTGTCTGGTAGAAAAGAATACTGAAAAAGCAAATAATAAAATTCTTATGAAATTAATAAGGTTAGAAGATATAAATGACATAATTTAAAATCTTACTGACTTTATTGATTTATATAACCTTAGTGACTTACATAAAATATTGTGTTAAACAAGCACAGAGCACATATTCTTTAAAGACACATGGAATAGTTATTTAAATTGACTATATACAGGTTTATGAAAGCAAATCTCAGTAACTCACAAAAAAATTAAAATCATTTCTGAATAATTAGCCATGCATTTCTAAATAATTCTAGAGCACAGAAGAAATCACAGCAGGCATTAGAAAAAAATTTTAGCTAATTGGGCCTCCCCAATGGCAAAGCGGTTGAGCGCTGGGTTGCGAAGCTGCCCGCAGCCTCTGCAGCTCCGGTTCGATCCCCGGCTGCTCCCCGGCCATTGGGTGAGGGTCCCACATGGCGCGCAGACCTCTCCTGCGCCCGCTGCTCCCCTCAGCAGTGTACTTCGGTTAAATAAATAAATAAATAAATCTTTGGGGAAAAAAAGAATTTTAGCTAATGATATAACAAATCAACACCTATGAGAAGCAATTGAAGTCTTGCTCAGGGTCCTCCCTGGTGGCCTATGGGTTAAGTCTAAGTGATATCACCACTGAGGTTTGAGTTGGATCCCCAGCCAAGGAGCTAACCCACTTGGTGCAACAGACCTCTCTTGTTTTTTTTTAATGATTTATTTATTTATTTATACAAGCACTGGGTATAGTCAGAAGCGCGGGAGGGTGAGAGAATTCACCAGAGCCAGAGCGGGGAGCAGAACAGGCAGATGCACGAAGTACACTGCTGAGGGGAGCAGCGGGCGGCAGGAGAGGTCTGCGCGCCATGTGGGACCCTCCTCTGGCGGCCGGGGATCGAACCGGCGCTGCAGAGGCTGCGGGCAGCTTCGCAGCCCAGAGCTCAACCGCTGCGCCACCAGGGAGGCCCATTATAATCTTTTTTTAATTTATTTTTATATTCCCCATACAATTGCAACCTCCTGATTTTGATCCCAATCCCTCCTTTCCCCACCCCCCCCAAAGTGTAACTCTGGTTCATAGTTGTTTGTTGATTTTGATTTTTTTTCTTTCTTATAGTTATTCTTTTTCCTGGTCCCTTATTTAAGTTTTCTAGATTCCTGCTATGAGTGAGACCATCCGGTATTTTTCTTTTTCTTTCTGGCTGCTTTTGCTGAGCATCATCCCTTCCAGCGCCATCCATGTTGCTGCAAATGGCATGTGTTTATCTTTTTTGAATGCTGAGTAATATTCCATGGTATATATGTACCACATCTTCTTGATCCAGTCATCTATTTTTAGGCATTTGGGTTGTTTCCAAAGCTTAGCTATTGTAAATAGTGCTGCTATAAACATAGGGGTGCAGGT